TATCATATAAATCAGTCTATAAAGTAAAATATTGTAATTCTATTTAGGAGCACCTATTATTTCAACATACATATAAATTTCCTTTAGCTCTTATGAGTCTCTTTATTCTCTTCAAATTACCAGACTGCGTGAACGACTTATCACACTTATCACACTTATGAGGACGTTCACCAGTATGAGTAATCATATGTTTGTCCTAAATTATCCTTGCTTGTAAAAGCTTTATTGCACATCTCACATTTAAATGGTCTAGCCCCGTGTGCGTTGCCATATGCTTCGTTAATCCCAGGTTGCGTGAAGGCTCTATCACACATCCCACACGATAATTCCTTTGACCTGCGTGATTTATTAAGTGATTCCCTAAAGTGCCCCGAATGAGCAAATGCTTTATTGCATATCTCACATTTATAAGGACGTTTCCCGGTGTGTGTGTTCATGTGTTCCCGTAAGTTGCTTGCATGAATGTAAAGCCTTGTCGCACATTTCACATTTGAAAGGCCTGTCTTCGGTATGCGTGACCATGTGTTTGGATAATGTATCAGAACGGTGAAGACTTTGTTGCAAGTTTTGCATATGTAAAGCACGGCTGCTGCCGGTATGGGTTCTTAGGTGCACATTTAAAGAACGCCGAGCGTGCAAAGACTTTATCACAGTACTGGCATTTGTAAGCCCTTCATTCACGGTGTGGGTGTTATGTGGCTCTTTAAATCAGCGCTTAGTTTGAAAGCCCTGGTGCAGTATTCACATACATGACGTTTGTCTTTGGAAGGAAGTTGGACCACTTCTTCTATAACGGTGTCATCTACCTCAGATTTCACCGAAGTCTCAACAGGGTTAATAGAAGGTACTTTAACATCCTTTGTTCATTTATTTTATTATCTTCTTGATTATTCAATAATGGAGCGTTTGGGGTTCACTTTTAATTGTGTCATTGTCTGGCAGTGGGTCTGCTTGCTCAGACATATTTGATGCTTGTTTTTATTAAAACAGACATTTACAATCGTCTACGACATACTTTTTATGATATTATATTCAGTTTAAATAGAATATATAAATATTTTGTGTTAAATCAATATTTTACATTTTGACGAACTGTCAAACTATTCAACATGGCGGATAAAAATTGTTTTCTAAACAAATAATACAAAATACTTATTAAATTGTGGTATATTAAACTTTTTATTGATAATTAATATATGATACTTTGAAATTCAAATTTCATTTTGAATAATAATTATTCATCAAATAAAAAACAAATTAAATTTTTGCTACTTTTTGATCTTGTTTACGGTCCGCCATTTTGAATTTTTTGAAACGTCAAAAAAATAAATAAATAGTACTCCAATGTAATACTTTACATTACTAGCTTTTATTATATTATAGTATTATTCATAGTAATATTAATGCCACTTACGCCTATTTTTTTTCATATTTATAATAATTATTATTATTACATTTGGGGATATTTTGACAATCAAAACATTGCATCTGGCAACACTACAAATGGCGTCTGACAACTTGTCAAATAACAAAACAAAATACCAAAAATAATTAATTAAAACATTAATCAAGCATGAATAATACAGTATCAGTTAATAATTCAATAACTGACCATAATTCTCTTATAAATAGCAGCCCAAATATGTGCCGAGCTTGTTTATCTGACAAAAATCTTCAATCAATATTTTTAGAGGTTAGAAATACACCAAATTTTAATCCTGAACAAAATCAATGTTTGAACGAGGAAAATACAATTTTTGATATGTTTAATTGTTATAAGGCTCTCGAAATATCACAAGACGACCAATATCCTAAGCACATATGCAACGATTGTCTGCAACAAGTAGTCGATGCTTACAAGTTTTGGAACAAATGTAAAGATTCCCTTAGCAAGTTGAACTTGGGTTTTGATTTGATAGATTTAAAAGATGATTTACTTAGTTATGATTTTGATGGCGATTCTAATGCCACTACAGTTGATAGTGTACAAAATAATGAATCATATACTTGTACGGTATGTGGGAATTGTTTTGCATCGACACAAAGTCTTTTAGCACATCAACAAATACATGATAGAACATTTAGTCAAGATGATAGTTTATCAGAGTCTGATGTTCCTATAATGGATATTATTAAGAAGACAAAAGCAGCTTTACGGCAAACAGAGAAACTTAATATAAGTTGTAAAGTGTGTAAAAAGACTTTTACTACGAAGACAATGCTCACAAAAACATGAAAGTACATGAATCATCAACAAGGGATGTAGAAAATTTAGAAGATAGTGGTTCAGAGTCTGATGTTCCTATAATGGATATAATGAAATCAATAAAAGCTTCACGAGAAACAGACAAGTCTAATTTAAGTTGTAAAAAGTCATCTAGAACAAAGACAATGTTTACAAATGCTCATAAATTATCTATGGGTGGTGCAGAGGCTTCTAAAAGTCTAGATAAGTGCATCAAGTGCAAATTCAAGTTTGTAAGTGAGGATGAATTTATTAATCATGTCTGCAAAGCAGTTTCTGATGTATACGAGTGTGAAATATGTTTCAAACAATATAAATCTCGTTTTGCACTTAAAGAACACAAAGAAATATCTCATCAAGATAATTCTTTATTCATTTGTAGTATATGTAAAGCTTCTTTCAAACTCAAAAAGTCTTTACGCAGGCACGAATTAAAATCCATAAACTCAAACCAACACACACATGTACAACTTGTGGTGAAAAATTTGATATAAAATTTTGTTAAGAAAACATTCCCAAACACATTTAGAACCTGCTACGGAACCTAAGTGTTTCTTATGCCAAGTATGTGGCTTAAAGTTAAAATGCACCTCCAAAATAAAAGCCCACCTAGAATCCCACTCCGACACCAGGATTACAATTGTGACAAATGTCCTAAGACTTATAAAACTTATGATGGTTTGCAAATACACAAAGCAACACACAACCAAACAAAACAATTCGCTTGTGAAAAATGTGGTAAAGTGTTTTCCAATAACTATTTATTACAATGCCACATTAAAAGGCCTCCACAATAAACGCAAAGCCTTTCAAATGCCCATGTTTGCTCCAAATGTTTTCAACTCCAACGGTGAGCTTGTCATACACGTCCGAATACACACCGGTGAACGTCCTTTTCCATGCAAGGAGTGTGAAATGGCTTTTTTCAAGCGCTTCCGGTTAACAACTACACATGCTGAAACACACAGGTAACGACACATAAATTTAGGGTGCATCAGCACATTGTTTTGATTGTTTTATTATAGGTGTGAGGAAGTACAAGTGTCCGGTTTGTGATAAAGCTTTTAAGTACCCCCAACATGTCAAAACGCACATGGTGATACACATCTGGAGAGTGCCCTTATCGGTGCCAAATTTGTCCAAAGGCTTTAAGTATAGACAGATATTGAAAAACCATATGAAACTGCACGAAAGGGAGTCTTTGGGAACTATGGTTCCTATTTTGGGACAAGAGTGAGTATTGAAAAATAGATGATTTGTTGAAAGTGATTTGATCCAAATATTCAATTTAGGTACAAAACTTTTAAAGTACATTATTTTTGTACATGTCTAAACTGTTATAATACTATTAGATAATATTATTATGCCCTTTAAATAAATTTGTTTACAGGTTTATGTAAATCGACATCATTTTTTTAGCTTTAGCTATTGATAACTCTTGAAGGAGAAGTTTGTCTTCTTGAAAAATCCCTTGTGCTAATTCTTTGTTTTCTGAATTGAATGAGAAAAATTTGGAAAATGTATGTGTTGTGTGTGCGGATACAATTTTTTGTCGACTATTTCGGATCAACCGATTTGCCTAATTAAAAACATTCGATTTGTATTGGTAAGGAGACGTGCTGATTAATTTTTGGCAAGGCAGGTCTAGGCGTTTTGAAGATACGAGGCAAAGAGAAAATGATAATTTTACATTTTGATAGAACGGAGCGTCCAATTGACTGAATAATTCATAACATTTAATTTGTATTGAGAAAATGAAGTAACCATTTTAAATTTTTATGAAGGCAGGTCTAGAGGTTTCAGAGAGGAGTGAAAAAAGTAAAAAAAAGTCATTTGCGGTCAAAAATGATCATCAGACATATGCACATCAAATTATTAGATGTTTTATAAAGATTTTAATAATAAGTATGAATTTTTGTTTACGTTTCTGTGGGTGCCGTACCAATGTTTATTCATTAGACTGCAATGCGGCGCTTACGCGCTTCGATATTTCTTATCTAAAAGTCACGGACCACAATTGCATTGAAAAAAAAAGTTCAAAATTTTCAGAAAAATTCACAGTATAAAAAGATTTTCTAGATAAATGTAGATAGATAAAAAAACTAATTTTTCAATAAGTCTTTTCTCTTTTCAAAAATTTCGAAACTCAAAACTCTTTTTTTTAAGTTTTCAAAAAAATTTTTTTTTTTATATATTTTTATTTTTGGTACGGGAAGTTCCAGCAATTTGCATAAGGGGCACGATGCCATGCACCACTAGTTGACCTTTAGTTGACCATTTCTCTCGAAAAACTTCTGGACCGATTTCAAAAATTTAAAAGTCGTTCGATGTAACGAGTCAAAGACTATCGTAGTCAGTTTTTTACGCCATTTTTTTGTAATTAGAAAAAAAAGCAACATTATTTGTCCAAGTTTAAGTCCATAATTTTAATCGATTGTAAAAATTCAAAATTGTTTTTCTTTTGGAAATCCCTGTTGATTTGTTTTTGACAAAGTCCAGACAGTCCGTTTCTTCTTAATTGTATGTTAAAAAAAAATATCCACGATTTTAAGCAATTTTATATGACAATTGTGTACCCGGTTCTTAGTGAAAATATTATATAGTCCTACGAAAAGTGGTTCAGTTATAAAAATTAAATAAAATTTTTATTAGTTGGCAGCGCTTTAATAAAACACACTTCGTGTTTGTATAGTTTGTAGGACTTAGAGACATGTTTATAATGAATAACTGCGTAAAAAAACTTGTGTAAAATTGAATGATCTGGAATATTTTATAATAATGGAAATTGCCCTTCAGCAGCAGTCGGGAAACTTTTTCAATCGTTACCCCTAAATATTTTTATCTAAGTTGATAACACCATTATACTTGTTTATCTATGGATATTACCCTCAGGCTAAGAGAGATAGTCCCATTTATACTTGTTTATCTATGCCCCGTACGGACTACGTACCAAATTCAGTAAATATCAAATCATGATATATTCTTACCCCCAAAAAAATCAATTTTTACCCCATTGGGGTAATTTTATCCCGGTTTCTCCCACCCTACAGTAACTCGATAAATTTATAAATCACTCATAAATAATTAAAATTGATTTGGGATCGTTTCAAGTATTTACGTAAGCAAATTTATTATAAATATTTACCGCTCCCATCCCCCTTGTCAGCAAAAGTAAGCAAAGCTCTACCCCCTACCCCCATGCTTACGTAAACATTTTGCAATTAATGTAAAAAAATAAAAATACTACCTATGACGTAATCATCATCCAGACTCTCCCCCCCCATGTCAACCCAAAATAAGCAAATCAACAAACCTCCGCGCCCCTATAGCGCTTACGTAATACTTGAACGGTCCCTTTCTTATTGATTAAGTCGATTATTTACTTATATCGGGTAGTTCATGCAACATGTCTAAGGCAAAGGGAGCGTCCATTAATCACGTGAGCAAGTTTTAAGGATTTTTGGACCCCCCCTCCCCTTTGATGGTACATGGTGAAATCAAAATTACCCCCTCTCCCCAACAAACAAAACGTGTATTTTAGTTACGTAATAAAACTGTAAATTTTTTTTTTTTGAAAATATTTGATTTTTTTTTTAAAAATCAGTTAAAAAATGAATACAAGTGATATCAGTAAGATATATATTTTACTATGTCCCTCCCTCCCCCACGTGATATTTCGTGATTTTTTGTCAAACCCCCCATCCCCCTAAAAACCTCACGTGATTAATGGACGCCCCCAAAGGCCAAGGGCCGTTCAAGTATTACGTAAGCACTATAGGGGGGCGGGGGGTTATTGATTTGCTTATTTTGCTTATTTTGAGTAAGAACTTTTGCTTACTTTTGCTGACAAAGGGGGGGGGGTAAATAATTGTAATAAATCTGCTTACGTAATACTTGAACGATCCCCCACCTACTCTTCTTTTATTTATGGCAAAATGCCACTTACACCTAGCCTATTATATATGTATTTTGTTAATAAGCATAAAGATCTCCTATCTATATTCAGTTGACAGTTCACTCTATGGCGTCGCGAGTAAATGTCAATTGACAGGTGACAGCTGTCTTGCATTCGAGTTTATTTAATTAAACAAAAACAAATATAATAATAAATATGAGTAATATATTAACAGAAAACGATAAAACAAACTTAAATTTAATTACTACGGATTCTAATTCATCCCCAATATGTCGTGCTTGTTTAGCTGACAAAAACCTACAAAGTTTATTCATCGAACAAAAACAATTATCAGAAAATGAGAATTTAATTCTAAAAATGTTTGTTTCTTGTACAGCCCTCGAAGTGTCCCCAGAGGACGAGTACCCCAAATACATCTGTGATTTGTGTCTTCGAGACTTGTACAAGGCCTACGAGTTTTGGACGAAGTGTCGAAACTCTTTACAAAAATTGGATAAACTCAAAGATAAAATACAAAGTGTTTATATTAAAAACGAAAATGATGACTTGGATGTCAAATCAGAATGTTTTGATACTGATAACTTTGAAACAGAAGTCGAAATCAAGCCTAGAAAACGCTCCAGAGTAAAAAAGACTAAGAAGAGTAAAGTGAAAGCAATAGATCCTGTAAGTTTTTTAAAACAAGAAGCTACTTTGAAGACAACGAGATAAACTTAAACACCAACATCGATAGTGATTCTACAAACAATACATACAGTTGTACTGTATGCCCCAAAAAATATAAAACTTCCCACGACTTAGACACCACACATGAAAAAGCATTCTGCACCTTCAGACAACCCGATCCATCTATGCCAGTTGTGTGGTTCCATCTTATCCTCAAGCCGTACTTTTGCTGGAGCACCTCGAATCCCACTCTGATGAAAGAAAGTACGACTGCAAAATCTGTGGCAAGTCTTATAAAACACGTAAAACCCTACACGCACACACACTCAATCCACGCAGTGGACAAAAAACACACCTGTGAACACTGCGGTCAAAAATTCAGAGTCAACCATTCTCTACGGTTCACATTAAACGCTGTCACTCCAACGTACGCCCTTATGTCTGTTCAATATGCTCCAAAGCCTTCAAGTTCTCTTACAAACTCACTGTCCATGTCCGCCAGCACACCGGGGAGAAGCCCTACACTTGCAAAGAGTGCAACAGCGCTTTTGTATGTGGCAGTAGACTGAAGATGCATATGCTGAAACATACGGGTGTCAGGAATTATGCTTGTGCAGTTTGTGATAAGAAGTTTCTGCAGCCCCAACATTTGAAGACTCATATGATTACGCATACAGGGAGTGTAACATAAATGTGGGGGTTTGCGGGAAGGCTTTTAAGTACTCGCAGATGCTGAAGAGCCATTTGAAAGTACACGAGGGAGAGAAGATAGATGATGGAGAAGTGGGAGTTGTTAAAGAGTAGTTAGTAGAATTTTGTTATATGTATATATTGTGATAATATAGTTAATTTTATTGTAGGAATCAGGTTGTTTGCTTTAATTTGCCAAAGGGGTAGTTTATGAATCGTCAGACACCAAAATTGGATAAAAGATATAATTTTACATTTTTTTGATATCAAATGTTGATCAAAATCTTGATAGTCCTGATTTGAGTTTAAATTAGGTAAGAATCTCGGAATTCGAGATACCCAGCTGTAAGTCTGTAAATACTTGAATATTGATACCCTTAAAAGTTGTCTCAAAACCTACATATGGTACGTACACCGTACCATATGTAGGTTTTGCGACAACTTTTAAATGTCAATATACAAGTATTTACAAACTTACAGCTGAGTATCTCGAATTCCGAGGTGAACTTACTATAATGACTGGACTATGAATTCATTTTTAAAGTTAAAAAACTGTTTAATAGATTATAACCCTTCCCACTCGGATGCCGCCGCTCCGGCAGCATAGTTCATATAGATCTTGCAATTCGCGAGTGGAAAGGGTTAATCTTCTGGGCACCGTGCTGATTAGTTTTTGGTAAATACCGGGTCTGAACCAGTTATCCCCACAATGGTCCCAAATGGCGGACCCTCTGGGGTTCATGACAATTTTCAGGATAAAAAAAAATTTGGGGTTCATAAAATGAAAATGGGCGGTCCACAATGGTGGATAACAATACACAACGTTAATAATAATAATATATAATAATCAAAGAAATAAATGTTTGCTTATCTTTACGTTTCAGAAGTTTCTGAGCATTTTGGCTCCATTTTGATCCTTTACCTTAGGATAAATGGATGTGTGTGTGTATGTATGTGTGGATACAATTTTTTATCGACGTTTTCGGGTACACCGCTCAACCGATTTGAGTGATTCAAAAAGCAATCGATTCCTATTGATAGGACGGCGTGATGATTAGTTTTTGGCAAAGGTTGGTCCAGCCGTTTAGCCGTTTTGGCGATACGGAGATAAATGTGCAAAAAATGGCAGTTTTTGAGAGAACGAAGCATCCGATCTGAATTATTCAAAATACTTTCTGTTTCTGTTCTTGAAACAATTGCTTTTCGGAAAAGAATTTTTCTTTTATTTTTTTCAATTATTGTCTTTTGCTTCGTAATTCAAAAATTAATGAATTAATAAAAAACGCGGTAATAATATATTAAAATCTGGAAACAATAAATGTCCTAGTTCAATTTAAATAGAATCAGTTTCAGATTAGTTTAGCACTTGCAAAGACTATTAAGGGACATTCATATGTGGCGTGCTTTGCAGTGGGTAAACTATTCATATGTTTTTTGTTAGCTGTTCCTTGCACTTATGCACTACATTTGTAATCAGTTGATTATTTTTATACTAAACATTTTATACTAGAAATATTTTTTATAGCAGCGTTTGCCGGGTCAACTAGTATATATACACACACATATATATATATATATATATATATATATATATATAAATATACTAGATGACCCGAGTATATATATATATATATATATATATATATATAATTTATATAGTGTGCATATAAATTGCCTCTTTTCTAATTAAGTTCCTACATAGGATTTTGTACAATCATTTAAATTACTCGGGAACTACTTAATGAAATTCTATTTATATAAGAATCTCTCGTATATATATACATACACACACATATATATATATATATATATATATATATATATATATATATATATCGATCCTTTACACACGTGTAGATTTTGACGTAAAAACGTTTTTAATTTTCTAAATTATGAAAGGATTTCTATTTTATTCCTTCATGTCTGTCAGGTTTCATTAACCCTATCAATCATCATGTGCATTTATTTATTATATCTCTTATAACTTTAAAACCATTCGATTAATATGAATGGAGTCTTAGAGGAATTTGTTTAAAATTGAATTATTTATAATATTATCTTACATGATATGTCTTTACATCAATTTTGTATACTTAAAAATTGCCATTGAAAGCAATCGATCTTTATTATTAACTTCTTTGTTGTTGCATTTATTTTGTATATCTCTTGTAACTTTAAAACCATTCGATTAATATGAATGTAGTCTTAGAGGAATTTGTTTAAAATTAATTTATTTATAATATTAATTATAATTGCATTTGAAAGTAATCGATCTTCAAATTAGCTTCTTTGTTGCATTTATTTAGTATATATTTGTAACTTTAAAACCATTCGATTAATATGAATGATGTATAAGATAAGTTCGTTTAAAATAAAATTATCTATACTTTTTCCTAACAACTAACCATCCTACAACAATTCGAATACTCAGAAAACGCGATTGAGGGACCGATTCTGCCGCATAACAGAAACATGTTATGGCAAGGCCATGCTATGAAGAACTTTCCTTACAAAATATTGACAAAAGCCATGTGGTTGTTGCACAGTCAGGCGTATTTCTCAAGTTGTCAGATAGAAAACATAATCTAGAAACCGCACAAATGTCAAAAAAAACGATTTTAGGTAATAGGGTTTTTCTGACTCAGCTCCATAACATACAAGTGACGTTGCAGTTTATGTGTAAAACGCCTGAATGCACAGCAAATACATGAAATTTTGACAGTATTCAGTATGATTCAGTAGCATAATGTATGGAAGTTGAAACGTAACATGGCCTTGCCATAACATTTTGCAATTATGCGGAAGAATCGGTCCCTAAATATTAAAAACCCCATACAAGTGTTGCCATATGCAATAACAAGCATCACTTTAGTATATCTTGCATAACTTTTGAACCATTCGATTAATTTGAATGGTGTAGTCGAGAAGTTTGTACAAAATTAAAAATTACATAATATAGTTTAACATCATGAAGTTCTACAACAACTCGGTATGCTCTAAAATTGCAATCAAATGTTGCAATGTAATTCTCACTCGATTAAGTGCATTTATTTATTCTTTAAGAGACAAAGAGATTCTCTTATGTCTCTAAAACCATTCGATTAATATGAATGCTAAATCAGAAGAAAATGTTTAAAATTAAAGTGTCTACAACTTTTTCTAACAACATGAGACTTTGGACCAACTCGGTATACTTCAGATCGCCTTTGAAATAAAAGAATTGTAAAAAAATTTTATTTAGTCATTTATCTATTAAATATCCTGTAACTTTTGAACGATTCGATTAATATGAATGATGTATTAGTAACCTGTACAAAATTAATAATCTATAACATTGTCTAATATTATAATACTCTACAGTAACCACAAAAGTTACAATAACGTAGCACATAAGAAACGTCGTTTCGAACTTGATGGTTACGTAAACAAAACGTACAAATGTACTTTAATCGGCTTAAACGTAAATGCTACGTTTTTGTTTATTACGTAGCAGCTACGTAACATGGTTTCGTAAATTTAACATGCAAATGGAGGGCAGGAAACAGCTGTTGGGCAGAAATGTCACACTTCAGTATATCTTTCATAACTTTTAAACCATTCGATTAATATGGATGGTGTATTCGAGAAAATTATTTATTATATAATTATATACATACATACATACATATATATATATATATCAATATATATATATATATAAATTATTTTATTATTACTTCTTACCTCGTATCTGATGTACTGCTTCCTCCATTCTGGTGTCAATTGAGCATTGAGATGTTCTGCGAATTTCATCTTGCACAAAATATCCTTTAATCGTTTATTTGCAATTCAAAATGTTTTCTAAACAGCGATTTATTCCTTAAAATTCATCACAACACTTCAAATTTAACACAAAACTAATTTTTGTAATGGTACTGAACTATTTTCAACATTTATAATAGATTATATCATGTAGTCTAAAAGGTTTTTTTAATTGAATCCAACCAATTTTTTTAGAATTAATGTCTAAAGAAATATATGTTTTTTGTTATAGTAATATCAACGTTCGTTTCTAGTAAGATATTGTCAGGTTGAAAATATTGGTACGAAACCTTTATATATTTTTCCAACTATTTTGTCGTGTGGGGTATCTTAAGAAAGGTCTTTTTGTGTAGAATACAACCCTGTAGATATCTTCTTATATATAAAAGTGGATCTCGGTATTATGTTAGGTATGCTGAGGCTCTAAAACGGCTGAACCGACTTGGCCAATTTTAGTCTTGAAATGTTTGTGCTAATCCAGAGGTTGTGGGAAAGGTGAGATATTATTACAAAAACGCGTAGAAACTTTACATTTTTAATTTGAAATTTTTTGT